TAAATAAACCATATGTTTACTAGCTTCCTTCGTACGCCTAGTCTTTCGACCGCTAGATCTTTTGTTCTCTCTTTCATTCCGGCCCTACAGGTGTCCTTTGGGGGATTCATATCCTAACTGCCGCATCAGCTCGGCCTTCTGCCCTTTGTGAATTATTCTCTCCTTAGAATTCCCCCTACCTGATCGAGCTGTTAGGAATCGAAGCGACTGCCATCCAAAGCTGACCAGACTCTTAGTAGGCCGAGCTACTAATACTCCAACTTGGACGAGCTAGTTGATATAATCATGACTATTGCCCACCTAACTGGCCCCAAAGCCGAGCTAGTTCATTACCGAGCATCTTGGTCTTCAAAGAGCCATTGCCCCATAACTGGTCCCAAAGCCGAGCTAGTTCAATACCTAGCAACTTGGTCTTCAAAGAACCATTGCCCACCTTCTAACTGGTCCAAAACCGAGTTAGTTTGATACGGAGCAACTTGATCTTCTACCGTTATCATCCAGACTACACATAATCGAGATGCTAACCTTGTTAAGCCAATCCTTATAAGATAAATCGACCCAATCCTTGTCGGCACTCTTATATGTCATATCATCTAGCCCCCCATTGTTCCTTGAATTAAATAGACTTGTTTGATAATATTAGTAATACACACAAATATGGTTGAGATATTCTCATAGACTTGCTAGGCTTCCCTTGCGGTTCCGCAGCCGAGCTATAAGGAAATTTAGGGGGCGTCTCTTGTATATCACATTTGCCTTTTCCCTTACCTCAGCCGAGCGAGCTATAATAAGGATATCCAACTTGTTGGGTTCCCGAGCAACAATTGGAAAAACGTAATTGCCGAGCTATTGTTGCAATCTTGAAAAGACGCGTTTCGTATATTGCGTCCATCTTTTAGCTTACGTAATTGCCGAGCTATGTGTACGTGTTCTTCGTTTTTGCTGTTCCTCTCGTTTCTTTGCATTTCATAATTTTCTTCTTTTCAATTGCTGCTTTCTACCTCTCTCTCTTCTTTTTATTATTATTATTATTTGAATTTTCTGGCCATCTGAATTTCTACCTGAAATTAGTCGGATTAGGGGTTGCCGCCCGAGTCTTTGTCGAGTAGCGGTGAAGGGGTGTTGATGATATGATTATGGCATTTTTCATTCTGTAGTGAATGAAAGTCCATCTTCTAGGATCTGAAAGAGAACCGTGCCTTTTTGGATTGACATTCGAGATCCCGATGTCAGATTAACGGAGGCGCGGGTCTTGGTTGGGTGTACCAGTCGGCCCTTGGGCGGGTTTGTGTTAAGATATCTTAACACAAGTCTCTCATTTCGTCCCCGATCTGTTGTAGGTCTCAATTGGTCCAGTCTCAACTGCCTAGCTATTTAAAGTACTTTTATTACTGTACATTAGTACCAGGAAAGCACATAGAGTAAGGTTGGCTCTATGCAAGAGAGGAAAACCGCATGGACAACTACCTGTAATAAAGCACAGGCTAATACGAGCCGACCAGAAGAAGTTGATTGGACCTTTTGGTTGCTTATTTCGGATTTTACTACCATACCGCTCAACTTTTGCTTGGCCACTTAGTGAAAGCGAAAAGATTTTATGGCCGCTCCATTCGGTTTTATTTCGAATTATAATACCGGGCTTATGCAATCGTTAGGTCGAGCAAGTCAAAGATCGAGCTGCTAGTCCGAGCAACTGATGTCACTTTTAGGCCGAGCAATTAATAATATGACACTTAAGCCGAGCAGCTGCTATATCATCTGAGCCGAGTTATTACCGTGTTTCATATATTAGCTCGGTAACTCAATATTCGAGCTATTGAGTTCCTAAATGGTCAGAACAACCCACTCCTCAACTGGCCGAGCTAATGAGGCTCTCGTATGGGCCGAGCATCCCCTATTCTTCAGCGGGCCGAGCTATGGGCCGAGCAGCATATATCAGACGGAGCTACTAGGCTTCTCATCAGGCCGAGCAATTAAAGTTGTCCTCAAGCCCAACTCACCTTTAGCCGAGCTTCATTACTTGAACCGAGCCAAATAACTCCGGTTAAACCGTGCCATTCTTATATGTTATATCAATATCTATGGTGAGTAATGGCGAGCTACTAATCATGTCGAACTACTAATAATGGCGAGCCACTCATAATACTGAGTAACTCATAATACCGAGCTACTAACAATGACGAGCTGATCGTAATGCCATTCTTATATGTTATATCAATATTTATGGTGCCGAGCGACCAGTAATGGCGAGCTTCTAATCATGTCGAACTACTAATAATGGCGAGCCACTCATAATACCGAGCAACTCATAATACCGAGTTGCTCGTAATGCCATTTTTATATGTTATAGCAATATCTATGGTGCCGAGCGGCCAGTAATGGCGAGCTACAAATCACGTCGAATTACTAATAATGACGAGCCACTCATAATACCGAGCTACTAACAATGACGAGCTGCTCGTAATGCCGAGCTGTTTATTTATGCCGTAGATGAATAATTACTATGAAGCTGAGAAAATCTCTTCCAATTTACTGAATCACTCTCATGGTTACATCATCTAGTCCCCCCATTATCGAATAAGCTATTGTTCTTTAGACTAAATAGACTTTGTTTGATAATATCGACGACGGGCCGAGTCAGCCGAGCCTTTCTTGATGTATCCCAATCGCTCCTCTTATCGTAATTCCTCATCCTTGGGCCTGCTATATAGCAAACAATTGTATGCCGGGCTTATTCAGTCGTTGGTCCGAACTCGTTGAAGACCGAGTTGCTAGTCCGAGCAACTACTAGGCCGAGCAGCTACTAGTAACACAAATGGGCCGAGCAACTAATGTAACAATTGTTGTCGAGCCCAATTACATCCGGCCCAACTACTGCTGGACCGAGCTATCACCCCTGAGACGAGCCAATATCCTTGAATCCGCGCAAAATACCCTTCGGCCGAGCACTTTACCTTTACCCTTTAACCGAGCTATTAGTAGTCCTTTTGTTGTGAAAACCGAGTTGCTTATCACAGGACCGAGCTACTTAACACAAGGCCAAGCTGTTAGTGTCACCGAGCTCCGAACCTCACTAA